CAAAGGATTTGGCAGCGGTTTATAAACCTAGTGGTAATTTTCAGTGTCACCCATTTTTCAGTCTCTGAAGATTATTTGAAAAAAATGCTTCTGATGACCTCCAACTGGATCTGCCAGTGCTCACCTCTCTGTGCATGGCTGCATGCTGTTGTGCACCAGCTGTGGAGCTGCCTTTGCTATAAGCAGCACAGCTGCTGTGTCAGCAGTTAACACAGCTCAATTTTAATAGACTTGGTTACACAGCATATTCTCAGACCTTCCAGCTGTGCCTAATGAAAATGCACACTGACACTCGTTCCAGTCTCAGTGCACCCTTTTGTGCTGCTGTTCACTTATTATTTTTTTATTATTCTGCGTACAAGGAGTCTCAGCGCTCCAGATAGATGAAATGTCATATACGTTGAGGATAATCTCCCATCACTGCAAGGTTTCTCCTCTATTAGTCGTCTCTGTGAGCTTCATTTAATCTGTTTGCTACCCGTTAGAAAGGCTGCCAAAGCATTTGGTTCTTGAAGAGCTGAGTGCTTCATTTTATCTGACGTAACTGCATCAGCACAGCAACGATTTATAAAGAATAACTTGTTTGTCGGTCTTAGGCTTTTTTTCGTGGATTGCCTTTGAACAAATAGCTATTTTCTTGGATTTATTAATTATTCAAAATGTTAAAGACTTTGAGGATTTGATTATGAGCAATTTTATGTGACTATTTGGTATTCAGTACTCAGCATCTAAGGCCATTACTTTGTTCTGTAGACAGATGAAGGCATATCTTGTCTTCTCTCTTCTGTTGACAGAAGATACTGAAAAATGTCATGAGAATTTAGCTTAGAGGGTAAGAGCTTAGGAAGAGACAAGAAGAAAAATCCAAATTTACCCCAGAAGTACAGGTTAGATAAATGGTTTTCTAAATACAATTTCTGAAGTAAAGATTATTGCCAAATTTATTTTGTGTACATGTAGAATATTTGTTTCCTCACGATACTTATGTTTGTTTCTCATGTTTCTCATTCTCACACAGGGGAATTGGGTGCGTGCCCAGGAGAGCACCACAGCTCAGGTCATGGCTGCCTTGTGCTTTGGTGAAGAGTATGTTTCTTCATACAAAATACTCTGAAGGTGCAGTTGTCATCAGTCTGCAAATTTCTCTCAGGATTATTGTGAAGGTAACAGGATGCAGTTTCCAGTTCTGGAGGGCGCTGCCAGACGATTGTGCAGTTTGCTGGTCTCTGAACATTTGCTTTCTAATTCTACTGAAGCACAAAAGGTTTTAATTTACAGTTAATGAGCTTTTTGTGGGATAACAACCTGAGCTCTTGAACAGCAAGTGGCTTAAATACATTTGAATACTTGATAAGGCAATATTTTGTAATGAGTTCTTTGATCTGCTCTTGCCTACTTTTGCTGCAAGGAGGAGGGGAAAAAGGGAAGGCTGTTGCTGTGTGGTAGAGGTACATATTGCTTCTGTCATTGTGTAGGTATAGATCTGAACAATGAGCATGACAATGCTGAAAATTCATATTTCAATTACCATATCTATTTGCTACATATTTAATTGCCATACACAATCTGGAAAATGGGTGCGTGATTGGATGCTGCTGGCTGGAGTTTTTCTTCCTATCTCTAAGCTCTATACATCCTCAACGTAAGTTTTTCATTGCTTTGATGGACACATCTACTTCTGGAGTTCTCTGAAAAGCAGACTGTTACCTGGACCTCAGAGTCACACGCTGTTCTGAGATCCTCTGTTTAGGCTTAGCTGTTTAGGTGAATAAAGAGCACTTTCATTCCTTCATATAGCTCTGCTCAAGCTAAAGCAAGTGAGGGGTGCAAGCACTACTGAGGTCTGCCAGATCAGCACAGGAGGGGATCACAGCACAGCCTGTCTGAGCACTTGAGAGGACCCATCTGCAGTTCTTTCCCTGTCACGTTCAAGATGTTTTTTCAGTGAATGTCCAGTTGTTGCCTTATTTCTTTTCCCACAACCTTCCACCATCTGGCTTGTGTTTAAAAGACACAGTTTAGTTAAACACATTAAATTTCAGCAATGTGGGCTGCAGCCAGCTCCTGCTCACCAGAAACTGGTAGCGTATTGTATGTCAGCATTCAGAGAAAGATAAGAGTTAGCCGGTTACAAAGTGAGCAGAAAAGCAAAAGCTATATACCTTAAGGCTCCCCCAAGCAATATAAATTAATCTATTCTAAACTCCTTACATCATTTAAGCTTCTTGGAGCAGGGATTTGTTTTTAAGTCCCTGTAAAATATCATGTTATATCCATTCTGCTCTATAAAATGAGTAAAACTCAAAACTCAGCAGACATGCCAGAAATGTATGGAGTACCTGCATTTTATCTGTGCAGAAGCATCACTAAGCCACTCTCAATGATATCCGAAAAGTCGTGGCAGTCAGGTGCAGTCCCTGGTGGAAAAAAGGCTGGACTCTTTTCAGTGGTGAGTGGAGACAGGACAAGGGGACATGGCTAGAAACTGCAGCACAGGAAGTTCCGCACAATGTGCGCAAGAACTTCTTTACAGTGAGGTGACGGAGCACTGGAACAGGCTGCCCAGGGAGGTGGTGGAGTCTCCTTCTCTGCAGATGTTCAAGAGCTGCCTGGATGCCTACCTGTGCGACCTGGTGTAGGGAACCTGCTTTGGCAGGGGGTTGGACTCGATGATCTCTGGAGGTCCCTTCCAACCCCTACCATTCTGTGATCCTGTGATTTTTAAGAAGGGTAGTAAGGATGACCCAGGGAACTACTCACCTGTCAGCCTCACCTCAGTGCCAGTAAAATCAGGGAGCAGATCTTCCTGAAATCCTCCTGGAAGCTGTGCTGAGGGACATGGAAGTCAGGGAGGTAACTAGCATGGCTTCACCAAGGGCAGGTCCTGTCTGACCCACCCTGTTTCTTTCTGTGATAGCATAACTGTGTCAGTGGACAAGAGAAGAGCCACTGGTGTCATCTATCTGGAATTTAGTAAGATCTTTGACACAGTCCCCCACAACATCCTTCTGTCCAAACTAGAAAGACATGGATTTGGTGGGTGGACTGCTTGATGGATGAGGATCTGACAGGGAGATTGTACCCAGACAGTGGTGGTCAATAACTCAATGTCCAGATGGAAATGAGTGGCAAGCAGCATCCCTCAGGGGCCAGAACTGGGATTGATGCTCTTTAACATCTTTATCAATGTCACGAACAGTGGGATTGAGTGCACCTTCAGCAAGTTTGCAGATGACACTAAGATGTGTGGTGCAGCTGACATGCCCAAGAGATGGGATGCCAGAGATACCTAGACAGGCTGCAGCACTGGGTCCAGATTAACACCATGAAGTTAAGTAAATCCAAGTCCTTCACCTGGATTGTGGCAATCTCCACCATCCACACAAGGTGGGGGATATAAGGATGGAGAACAGCCCTGCCAAAAAGGGCTTGAGTGTACGTGTGAATGGCAAGCTGTTCATGAGCCAACAGTATACCCTCACATCCCAGAAAATCAACCGCACCCTGGGCTGCATCAAAAGAATAATGGGCAGCAGGTCAAGAGAAGTGACTCTGCACTGGTGAGGCCACATATGGAGTACTGCGTCCAGATGTGGAGTCCTCAGAGCAGGAGTGGTGTGGATCTGTTGGAGCATGTCCAGAGGAACACTGCAAAAATGAACCAGGGATAGAACGCCTCCCCTGTGAGGACAGGCTGAGAGAACTGGGGCTGTTCAGCTTGGATCAGAGAAGGCTCAGGCAGACCTGAGAGAGGCCTTTCAGTACCTAAAGAAGGGCTATATGAAGGAAATGGACAGACTCTTTAGTCTGTCACAATAGAGTCTGTTGTGACAGGATGAGGGGAAATGGTTTCAAGCTAAAAGGGGAGATTTAGATTAGATATAAGGAAGAAGTTTTTTACAATAACGATGGTGAGGCACTGGCACAAGTTGCCCAGAGACATGGTGGATGCCCCATCCCTGGAGACACTCAAGGTAAGGCTGGACAGGGCACTGAGCAGTCTGATCTAGCTGTAGGTGTACATGTTCATTGCAGGGGAGTGGGCAAGATGACCTTTAAGGACCCCTTCCAACTCAAACATTTCTGTAATTCTTCGATCACTAAATCCAATCTAGTTCTGCTCAGGATGCACTGAAATGAAAACTCATCTTCAGTTAACAGTGCTTTGGCATTTCTCTGCCAGTACAGAAACAGACTGAGTCGGACACATTTAATAGCAAAAAAAATACAGAATTAATCAAATTCTGTTCAAGATTATGACTGCCAAATTCAAGCTTTTGTATGTGAGCTAAAGGCACGATGCAGGTTTTGATTACAGGTTTCTGCAGCATTCAGAGTTGCTCAGCAGCTCAGCTAGGGTTATCTGTGAGCTTTCGGATTCCCACGTCCCCATGGTGGCATAGAAAAAACAGATGGAGTAACTGAGATGCCTATGCTTAGGCAAAGTAATCAGAATTAGGTATATAATTCCCTTCATGGTCAGTGGACATTTTTTCAAAGCAGTTGAGAGCAATTTGGTCACACTGAGGAGGGAATCTTGGGCCATTTTTTCTCATCTCATCTTAAAACTGTCCAGAACTGCTCCTTGATGTGTCAGAGCTGGGCTGCAACTGAAGAGTTGTCCTGAGTCAGCCTGGGAGCAGCAGGGTGCATCTTTGCATCTTCCTGTCCCCTGGCTCTATCGCACTCACCTTTTGGCTTGACCTTCTGGTCAACAGCTCCCTGACCACATGCCACAGAGGGTTACTAGATTTCAAATGCTGCTTTTTCAAACGCTGCTATTGCAACACAGTTTTTCTGTGTGTGGTCTTCTTTCTGTACAAAGAACAAGGTAAGAGAGCAAGAATGTTAAGTATACAAGTATAAGCATGTACATGTGACTACAGCATACAAAGACTATAAGGAAAACAGCAATTTCTGTTGTCATTAAACTGTCTAATAATTGCCATTTCCTTTTACAGATGCCTTTGGATATGAAGTTTATATGAGTTAAATCTTTGTTTGCTAATTCTGAAACAGACTCCCTATTGATTTGACTTCCCATGCTGTAAAACCCTGCTGCTCCAATGCACATGCCTCTGGGCCAACTGGGGGTCAACAGAAACTTCCTAAGAAAGATCTTGATGGATTTTCTTTTCTTCACTTGAAATGCAAAGTCCTCTCTCTCGTTATAGAAAAGTGTAGTAATGGCAAAGCTACAGGGGAAATGGATCCATAAATTTAAAGGTAACAGTCAGGAGCCTCTCTCTGTTCTGGTATGGGGTACACACAGCTGGCCAACCACTGGGTGTTTCTGGAATGCACTGAAATACCAGCAGAGGCTCGTTCTTTGTCTCTCACTTTTAACTTGACAAGATTTTTATGTTTTTATGTTCATGTTTTCTATAGTTTCCTTCCTGACATGCTCCCAGAGATAAGTACTTTCTTGAAGTAAATGCCAGGCCGGTACTGGCTGGAAGAAAACTTCTCTTTGCATTGTCTAGCAGAAGCTACAGAATTTGCTCCTGATTCCTCCACAGCCAAAGAACAGTGCATCTCTAGCTGATGCTCTCTTGGTTACCCTGAAAGTAGTATAAAGAAATTTTAAAACTCCTATGCAGTGTAATATTTGATCATGTACTTTTTCATGGACTTTGATGAAGAGAGGTGGATTACAAACTGTGAAAGGGTTCTTTTTTGTTTCACATGGGACAGCAATTCCTGTTTCAATTCATTACAAAGAGTTTTCCTGCATGGATATTCCTATTACAAGTCTGCTGTGTTCCTGTGTTCTCTTTCATATTCGTGTCACTAAAGACAGACTTTTTTTGGATTCCAACTATTCTGATACATTTAAAAATTATTCCTTCAACAGAAATACTTTCAAAAGTAGAGTAGGAATATCCACGTGAGAAAACTCAATATACTAAAATGTAGTTTGCTATTTTATTTATCTTGGTAAATGGCAAATGATAAATAACAATTGCTGTTTTAGAAACAGCAGAAAGCAGTAGATTCTGCAAACTCACCATGCAACTACAGCTGTATGCAGGGCTCATACAACCTTTGGAGCAGCTCTACTTCTCTTTCTGCTCCTGACCTGCTATCCTGGTCTTGAATCAATGCACTATAAAGAGCACAAATGACACCAAAGGTCAGTAGCTGAATTTGAGGTTCTGATGGGGCAGATGCCTACTGATAAGGGAAGATGCAATACTTACAAATAGGAGATAAAGTAGCTTGGTCACAGGGTCCAAATATTTTCCCTAAAGAGGGAAAATAGGTGGTGACAAGGGCCACTAAAATCAATGGGAAGACTCACTGATCTCAGCAGCTTTTGGATAAGGTTCCAAAAAACAAACGAAAAAAAGATGGTCACTAATCATTGAGGAATGAGGAAAAGTAGGAGAAAAACTGCTTTAAACAGAACTTTACTTTGTAGCTTTCATCTTTACCAAAGAAAGTTCTCTAATGCAAAGGACATACTTCCAGCAGCTTTTAGCTGGTTAGCATTAAGACTGCTTTCCTTGGATGCACACACAGAATCACAGAATCACCCGGGTTGGAAGGGACCTCAAGGATCATGTAGTTCCAACCCCCCTGCCTAGCAGGGACACCAAACATCCACATTTAGACCAGGTTGCCCAGGACCCCGTCCAACCTGGCCTTGAACACGTCCAAGGACGGGGCATCCACAACCTCCCTGGGCAGCCCGTTCCAGGGCCTAACCACTCTCCTTGTGAAGAACTTCCCCCTAACATCCAACCTAAATCTTCCCTCCTTCAACTTGGATCCATTTCCCCTAGTCCTGCTGTTGTCAGCCCTTTTGAAGAGTTTACTCCCCTCCTGGGTGGCAGTGATTGTTCAGGAGGATAGTAAGAGGTACCCAGGTAGCTGAATTAAAAAAAAAAAAAAAAAAGAAAAACACACAGGAAAAAAAACCCACAAAAAAAAAAAAAAAAAGAAAAAAGAAAAAGAATTAGAGGAAGAAAAATGAAGCAAGTCCCAGCAAGTCAGAAAGTTCCCAATATCACAGAAAGCAAAAAGCAGCCAACTCCACAATTGTCAGGAGAGGTATTTGGAAATGCTCACATAGAACAACCTTCATTAAGAAGCTTCATTAAGAAGCAGGTGAGCTCTACCACTTTTTCCTGTCAATGCAGGACTATTTTACCTTTTTCAGTTCACTTCCAGTGTCACCTAATACAGCAATATAACATGCAGATGTAGTTGTTGTTATGGAGAATAGCCTGCCTGTTGTATGAAAATTGTCAGTGAAGAAACCACAAGGTTGGTATTTACATCTCAGTAACAAATGAAATGCTCCTTGGAAGAATTAAGGGAGCCCACGAATGAGCAGATCCCTGTTGTTTAACTTGTCAAGAGGGAAGTTGTGAAGTAACCAGGGAGAAAATCAACAGAGATGAATTTGTGTAAATGCCATTGAGGTATTAAGAACCTCCTGAAATCTGTAGGTGCTTTAAAAGAAAAGATATCTTTGAATAGTTTTAACAGTTTCAACATAGGAAGTGAGCATCTTAAATGTATCAGGGCACTCACAGTATTGGCATTCAGGAGTGGAAAAGAGTTGGTTTCTATTCCCAGACCTTACTTGTACTTTGCAACAATCTAAATATATATATATATAAATATATATATATATATATATAACAGGCAGAACCTAAATCAGCACTCTAGTTCTGGCTGTGGTAGAGTTAATTTTCTTCACAGCAGCTGTCGTGGTGTTGTGCTTTGGATTTGGGATGAAAATAGCATTGATAACACACCAGTGTTTTAGTAGTCACTGAGCAGTGCTGCACGGAGCCAAGGACATTTCAGCTTCCCACGCCACCCTGACAGTGAAGAGCTGGGGAGCACAAGGAGCTGGGAGGGGACAGAACCAGGGCAGCTGGCCCAGGCTGACCAAAGGAATATCCCATATCATATGGCATCGTGCAGAGCATCAAAACTGGGGGGAAATGGCAGGCTGCCATTGCTTGGGGATGGGTCCGGTATTGGTCAGCAGGTGATGGGCAATTGTGTTTTGCATCACTTGTTTTCTGATTACTTTTCTTTTCCTGGTTGTTTTTTTTTTTGTGTGTGTGTGTGTGTGTGTGTGTGTGTGTGTGTGTGTTTTTTTCCTGTTGTGTTTATCTCAACCCACAAGATTTATTTTTTTTTTCCCCACCAATTCCCTTCTCCATTCCATTCCATTGGGAGTGGGAATGAGAAAATGGCTGTGTGATGCTGAGCTCTCTGCCAAGCTAAACCACAGCAATCAGCCAGTGAAAGCCCAAAGGCTATGCCTGGAACCTTTGCACCTCTGAAGTGCTCCTACAGTGTTATTCAGAAGGTGTGAATAAATATCAAGCAGTACATAAGCCTTACATTACAGCCTTGAACAGGATGAAGTTAGTCCTGAAGTCCTATTGCCAGGCAAAAGTCCTGTAAGAAGTCTCGTTTCTGTAGAAGAATGCCATTACAGCAGGAAGAGATGAGATTCATCTCCACACACTTCTGTGATCTCAAAGCTGGGCACTGGGAATAAAGGCAGGAGGCAGCAGTCTCTACAATCAAAGCAGGAAGATGTCAGCTCCCGTGACTAAGTGATTCACCCCAGTCTAAAGAAGGCAGCTGAGACAAATCAAATGAGCTGCTCTCTAGAGACTTCTGTCTCTCCACTGACAATAAAGAGAAGCTGGACTACAAGAACAGACACAGTGCTAAACTCTAAGTGGCTATAATAAAGTGACAGAAATCCTATCTTTCACAAGCACTGACAGTGTTTTAGTGTAAATCATTTAAGACACATTGAAAACATTTAGACAAGGAGAAATCAAGCATCTTTATGCAGATAAGCAAATACTAAGAGGTAATACACTTAGATGTCTGAAAATCATACGCTTATAGCTTATTGTGTAAATAAAGAATAAAGCATGCAAGTAAGGAGTAAAGAGTACCTTCAGGTACACTGTTTAGCCCTGGTATTTTTCAGTATGACAGCAAAAAATCTCACTTTCAGTGAATGCTGATTTCTCAGTCTGGCTGGTCACTGGCCGGATGCCTCCATCCTGTGGATGCTTTGCTGTGGAGGTGTTCACGGACCCATCACCTTGCTGTACTCCTGGGGCTGGCAGCACAGAGTGGGCAGCTCAGCAGGGTGCAGTTTTATGTAAAATTGCAAATAAAGCTATAGCTACTGTATTAGCATTTCATTAAAATTCTTTTTGCCACCTAAGTGGGCAAACTTATTACAAAAGGGGGAAGAACGTTGACGTGGTGTTTCAAAGGAACATTTTCAGACACTACGTAGGTGATCAGATGTTGAACACTTGTTATTCTTCATGTGAATGATTGCTTTAATCCCCTTGCTATCATGCTACAAAATTGCCCTTGACATGATCTTTTGCAGTGCACTGAGCATTATTTTATAGGCTGTGCTCCTAATGAACTTGCTCTGGTGAGAAAAATGCCAATGAAACTGAAAAAGTCTGCACCTCTTTCTCATGTTTGATTCCTTTTGCATTTCTTCTTGAGGTAATGTCTGGATTGTGATCTCTTTGTTTCTAGAGCAGTACATTAAAAATCAGCTAATGTAGCATTAACTAAACACTAATAGGCCATTAAAGATGGACTTTCATGCTTGAGAAAACAAGAATGTTTCAAATGTAAGTATGAGGCAATTTCATATGCACAAAGTTCTGCTGCCTGATGCGATTTATATTAATAATTTATACATGACTACTATAAGCTGCAGTAGATATCCCAACTTTCTTGGCTCAGTGCTTCTTGTCCTCACAAAAGGCACAGAGGGCCCCAGGGAGGACTGGCCACTGCCCCAGGCTCCCCTGCCAGCTGCCTGGCTGGAGAAAAGGCCCAGCTGGGTGCGATGCTGGCAGCACAGCAGTGATCCAGGAGCAAGTAATCCTTAAGAAACCTGCTGTCGTAAGCCCCTACAATTTGCATGATGATCAGCAAATGTTTTCTTGTATTTTAGGGCACAGTTATACTTCCACTAAATTTATTTAGAGTGCAGATACATACACAGCCACCCTGGGAAGCCGATAACCTTGTTAGGCACACACACATGCTTCTGCAAGCACAAAGGAAATTTCCACTGCAGATCTGGTTGAAGCCCTTCCTGCTGTGGCGTTTATCTCCATAACACAGACCCACAAGCCAGAAGGCCCGCTGTCATGCAGCCCCCACATGAGGCAGGGCTCCCAGCCCATACATTTGGCTGCCTATGTTCTGCCCATCTCTCTCAGAACGTAAGCCTTGGAGGGAGCAGCCGATCCTGTGCTGCCCATCCAGTGTACCACACTGCCCACCCCATGCACCCTGAGCCCCCACTGCCTCCCAGAAGGCTGCCAGCATCTTGCCACAGCTGAGAAATTAAATCCTTGTGCACTGCCCACTGAAATCAATGGGAATATTTGCTCTGCATAACCTCACAAGCCATGCTTTTTATAAGACCTGGACTTGTGGCAGGTATAGTTAAAGAGATACCTTTGAAACTATCCAACTACACAGCTGACATGAGGAAACAGAGAATGGGAATGGATGGTGAAGATGGTAGCTTTCACCTCCTAGAGCCATTCTCCTGATGATTTCCTAATAAGAAGTTGTTTGAGTTGCTGTGACTAAATAAGCAATTGTGTTTTGCTTTGGTATAATCATGATAATAAAACTTGCCTGTAGCAAAATGCTGTTCTGAGGCAAGGACATAACTTCCATCTGCCTTTCTCAGCTTGTCTTAACCTCAGCAAAACATTTTTTTAACAGAAGCTGCTCACACACACACTTAAGTCCAAGACACATTTTCAGCCTCAGTCTGCTGATAGCAATCATTCAGTCCCTTGCCTTCCCTCCACTTCGGTGGGTCTTCATTAGAGAAAGAAATCAAAATATTCCTGTTAGCATTGAAGTGGTAGTACATACACACCACCTAACCAGAAAGAGGCAGAGGGGACTTTTTTTCCCCTCACACAATAAAACATCAGATAAAAATCTTGCTCTGATAGAGCCAAATATAATTTCATTCAAGACCAAAGTATAAACAAATCAACCAGCTTGTTACTGGTGCTTTCCCATCCCATCTAGTCCAAGGTCAGACAGGCATGGCTCAGCATTTGAGTTTTCTCAGGCTTTTCCATGGGGCTGTTCTGGGGTTTGTTTGATGTGGCAGAGTTAGGGTACCCACTCACTAGATTTAAAGACCTCATCAAGCTGATGCCTTGATAGATCACTGTCTTTTCTAATTATTGCCTATATTTAATTGGAATGAACACTGTTGAGCCAATACTTTCAGTTTAAAAGCATACGCAGATAAATGGTTTCTGGTCTTTGAAACATCAGAGTAATAGATGCATTGTTTATGTCTGAAATAGGCTAGTTTTCAAGAACTAGCCCTTTTGCAAAAAACATCTGTTCCTATGCCCCTCAAGGCAGCATTAGTTGATGTTAAGTGCTCTCATTTTTCTGCTTCTTAAGATATTTTTATCAGGATGAGTCATTAGGTATTCTGGTCACTTCTCTTACAGATGCAGTTATGATTTTAACAGGGAAAATGTCAGTTCTGTGACACCTCTCTGCTACATCTTTCTATTCAGGGAGGATTTAAGCTATCATGGAAGTATGGAATGTGACCCACAGGACACCTTGCCCCCTGCCCCAGGGCAGACTCAGCATACCTTCCCAGCACTGCTCAACCTGCCTCCAAGGGCAGACAGCCTCTGGCATTCCCACAGCTTGAAACTGGTGTTATTTAACCTAAATATGCTGTTCAGGCACTTTTTAGGACAATTTATTTTCCTGGCCTGCAGAACAATTTTGTATCTTGCTGCTTCTGCTCTGCAAATTGACCCTGTGTTTCTTCAAGCAGAGCTGAGATGTTGCCAGTGATAAACAGGGCAAAAGGATTACTTAACACATCTTCCACACAAATCCTGTTTCAGCATCCTGCTGCAAATCTGAGTGCCCTCAGCAGCTCAGCATCACTGACAGAGGTCATGTGCCTCCTGCGTACCCCACAGTCTTTACTAATACACAGGTGCTTTGTTCTGCTTCTCTCATCTTGTGTTGGTACAGTGAGTTTTACTACCTACTTATTGTACTACTTATTTCAGATCATTTCAGTTTTTCAATATCTTTTTGAAGTCCAGCCCTGTACTGCAGTTATGTTCTGTTCAAGAGTTGCATTGCTTCATGTCCAAGCCCTTAAATATTGTATAATACTGAACTATGGAGAAATCCTAGCATGAATTTACTTATCATTCTCTGTAGAAATATGGATTTCCAGCCAGCTTTACAATTTCACAGGAGTTTCAATAAGAGTACTTCCTTAATTTGGTTATGAGACTCCCCTGGTAAGTAAAGTTAGAAGATGGAGCCAATATCATAATATCTACCAAATTCTTCCCTGCTCAGAAGTCCTTGTTTCCTCTCTACACATAACATTAAACTCCTCTTTCCTTAGAAGTGAGCCTCTTTCCTTTCTTGCCTGCACATTTTAGCAAATGTCCTTCCACATATTTTTCCTACTGCTTCTTGTTTCATTTTGTGTCAATTGTTTTTTTTTTCCTATGCATTGTCCTTTCCAATTTTGCCCTTGTAGGTTTGTGCTAGACTTACACATACCTTTTTAGTAACTTGACCTACTTTCTACACCAAATAATTTTCAGGTCACTGAAAAACTCCTGAGTTAGCACAAGTGGTTTCTCACCACACTTCCTGTATCTGTTTCTCTGAAAATAAAGTGTTTCTCTCTTCGAGACAGCGTTTCACAGAACTTCCTTCTGAACCCCTTTTCTCTATCAGCCTAACTTGCCTCTCAGTTCTCTGAATAATGACATTTGCTTTCTTGAAATCCTATATTTTTGTTTTCTTGATTGGTAGATATCAGGAATTCCATTCCTTATGATCATTTGCATCAGTTTGTCTTCTTCACACTTTGGGCCAATTCATCTTTTGCTCTATAGAACCAAGACCCAAAGGAGCCTTTCCTTCTCTGAGAACCAGATGGCAATCCCAACACAACAGGGCTGCTTCCTCTCCTCTTGTCCTGCTCAGAGTCTCTCTGCATCCTTGCCTGTCTTCAGGGCTCTTGTAATGGCACAGCTTTTCAGTATTTGCTTGCGTCCAGGCTCTCAGGGACCAGGCCTTCTGGGATGTCAGGTTAAATCTGGAAACATGCATCTCTGTCACTCTTATACTTTTCCTCAGCAGACTGCTGGCTTCATACATCTTACGGTGATGAATGACTGTCCTTAAATCTTACCAGTGATGAGTCCTCATCAGCTACCAAGGCAGAGTGTGGATAGCTACTCAGGTCACCCAGAAAAGAGATATTAAAACACATTAAAATAATAACCACACTGTATGCTCCCAGTTCTCATCAGCATGAGAGTGGTCTACTGCCCAATGTCATCTCACTTCAGTATTTTCATAACAGGCAACATTTTTATGAGTCTAACTACAAACGCAGATCAACCCAGTGGAGCTATCAACACCAACAATCAGCATCTAAATGACGAACAGATGCCTGCTGTTCATCTGAGTCTAGTCCAGTGGCAGTATGCAGACTTCTCTACAAAAATAATCTGTACTACTCAGTACCCTGAAAGTCAAAGGTGCAAACAAAACCGCTTTCATTACCAAGTCCAAATTTGATTCCAGCTAGCAACATGTTGAATAGTTTCTTTTTGACTCTGTTTTAGAAATTCTAGGATTATGTGAGGCTCCAAGATTTTATTAAAAGCTGAGCAATGCTTTATGATTGCAGAGAGAAACTGGAAAACGTGCACCTTTTTGGTTCAGCAGCAAAGCAGCAAATTTAAAAGACTGATTTGTTGTTTGCTGCATTTATTTGAATCCTGCTATTTTAATGAGAACTCTGTGCCTAATAATTTTGAAATGTTTGGACTTGCTGCAATGCCAGATAAGCATGGCACATGTTTTCAGGATTGAGACCATTAGCTGAAGTGGTCTAGTTTGACATGTTTTCCTACCTGCCTTCCTGAGAAAAAGTAGTAGAGATAAAACAATAACCTGACCAAATATCAATGTTATGGAGTCAAATTTATCTTGGTTGATGAATTTGACTACTCATTATGCTTAGGATGATTTTTCTTTTGTGTGCTATATTGCTTAGCTTTGTAGATTCTTTGTCCAGTGACAAATTAGTCTCCCCTGGTTTGTCACTGACAACAAAGCCACTCTCAAAATAGGAAATCAAGTTTATTTCTTCAAGGCTTAAGTAAGCAACATTTCCTATGGCTTATTTCCATAGTGAAGAAACCTGCAGATAACATGGAAAATTGGCTTTCCTATTTTCCTTAGTGGGCACATGAGGCAATCTCTGTTGTGCCAGCTCAAAGCATAGTAGTTGGGAGGAAAAAAGTCAGCTTCCTAATATTTAGTGGGATGTCATTCCTCTGTGTAATGACAGCATATATATTACATTGAGGCTTTTTATGAGAAAATCATGCTTTACACAGATTACAAAGCCACTCTGGTATGGATCACTTCTTGGGCAAATTTACCTTTAGATCAGCATGCACATATTTAGCAGAATCCCTCCGTAGGTGTTTAAGGTAATGGTATGAGCAGAAGTAATTCAGATTAGGCACGTTGTAGGGCTAGGGCTATCACTAAGTTACACAAGGTGCAGAAAAGCACTTCTTGTCCTTACCCATTGTCATCCTCACCTGGAAAGTATTAAGCTGAGTCTAGAATGTTAGTCAAATTAAAAAAAGAGACTCTTATTGGCCACTAGTATGTTATCAGCCAGCATCAGCCACATATCTTAATCAAAGCAGAGGCCTCGCTCAAGGGAAATCCACTGCAATGAATTACAAGCAAATGATTCTGCTACATTCCTGAATTTCCCCAAATCCTAGAAACTTTCAAGGAGAAGTGCTACTGCACTAAATTATTACTCTGGTGTTTTAAAATGAGGATGATCTAATCAGAATTTAAAAATGAATGTTAATTTCATTTTGTTTGTTTCCTTGCTTCACTATAATTAAATAATTGGTGCAATTCACTTGCTTTTTCCTCCACATAGAGAAAGCTTTTGGGGCAACACAGAAACATACAGCAGTTTAAATAAGATTTCACTCACTGAAGAAAGAGGGAAGGCAAGAGGAATTAGCTAGCAGACAAAGCATACAATCAATGCGTACAGAGGTGTAAAAATCAATTGGCATACAGAGTTTTAGGCTATGTAAGATTATCACAACAGAAAGATCAAAAGAAAAATGGAAAATGCTTACCAGTATTGCAGGCTCACAGCATTCTCCACAGGGAGTAATCTCCAGGAAGGACCCTTCCTCAGTGGCAATCAGCACTTAAATGGGATCTAGGAGAGGTGGAGCCAGGCTCCACCCCTTCCAGTAGCACAGGTGAATTGCCTTCACCTGTGCTCCTGTGGCTGACTCATTGCTTGTTTCAGGTGGTCAACCAGAGGTTCAGGCCATGATTCAGCAATTCTCATACACAGAGGCATTTCTTTTTCTTTCTGTTAGTGAATATGAACCTCACAAACATATTTGCAGCCCAGAAACTAGATATGTGGCTCCTAAGACCTGGATTCCAGCAACATAAACACCATCACCACCTATTAAATGCAGAGGGAGGGCTGTGAATGTACAGAAACACATACGTTCATGTTTGCACAAGAAGAAAAGTGCAGAACAAATCAATATATACTGTTGCATCTTTTCTGCCTTCCTCTGCTTGGCTGGACAAGGAGGGGATATGGCATAAGGAGCAGCCTGGTCCCTCAGCCTTGTCCCTCCTAATAACCAGAGCAGATTGCGTATTTCTGTAATGCTTGCAGAAAAGTTGTATCTTTTCCTGTGCCTTGGCTCAGCACAAGGAGAAGCACCAGCCCAGAGTGTTGGCCAACCCATGCGAGGATCACAGCTTTAGGTTGGTTTCCATACCAAGAACCGCACCAGGTTTTCTCCCCTGCCTCTCACCATGCCTTGGTGGTTCCTTTAGCTGGAACCTAACAAGAGGAGAGGAAACCTTTAAATCTTTTCAATTTCAATCCACACTGCCTATTGCTCTCAGAGCTGGGAATTCACTCAAACCTGGGATTTGACATATAGTCCCTCTTCCTCATCTACCACACTCTACACAGCCAAAGCAGCATGCAGGCCTGTATAAGACACTGAAGTGACAGCCACTTGTGTCCCTGATGAAATCAGACTGGCTGCCACAAACTGATGCTAAGATTGCCAAATGCATACATAGGATGGAACTGCTATATATACATATATATATATATATATATATTTTTTTTTTTTTTTTGTGAGGGTACTGGGGCAAAACACTGGAAGTCAAGATTATTCCAAGCCAGCAAGTTTTTTTCAAGCCCCTTAACAGCTGTACAGGCTGCTGAGCACTAGGAAATAGTTAAAGTCAGCTCAGATTTTGATCCTTGTTTTAAAAGACTGTTAGCATAAAGAACTCAGAAATACTGGATCATTTAGTGCAGTGACTAGCAAATTCCTGCTGGGTTGGAGTTTGGTATTTCATCTTCCAAATAGTTTCACTGAGCACAGAAAAGCAGCTGGAGAGACTTTCCTGCAGTGGGAAAGATGCTTTTTCCATACATTGATGAGAAAATAAGATTCACACTATGGTATTACACTTGCCTAAGTGTGCCATAGTTGAACTCCAGTGCCCAATACTGGAGGAGTTAAAAGGTCTCCTTGGTTCACTTGAAATTAAAGCTGAGATATCTTTCTCCATTCTGATTTACAGGACAGTAGGGACACCAGAGCTATCATGGTTGGAGTAGCTACTGTCTGCAGGCACAGCAGACAATAAGGCAGCGTGTCTGGCCTCCTTGCCCGACCTCCTCACTTGAATTCCTGCAGCAGTATTGGCATGGGCAGAAGAGGTACTGCCACAGCTGAACACACACACACAAAAAAAGCTATGGGGAAAGATGCAGATCCCTTCTCGATCCTAAATTTAGAGTTTCTAAATAAAAAGGATTCACTCCGTGTTGCCTCCTTTCTCTGCTAAGATGCAGTTCTCAACAGATGGTGAAGAGCAGCCTGAAATTAAATGTATCCTGCTGCATTGCTAGATGCCTTTTTACAGTGCTACACCCTGGGTCACGTCCTCACCTCTCACAGCTATGGGGTGTAGATTTAGCTGCTCATGCTGGTTTTTTTGAAATGCAATTTCTGTTTCTTTAGAATGGCCAGATGCACGCATTTCCACCAGGCTGCCCATTGGCAAAGGGCGAGGGGTACAGCTCAGCAGTGTCACAGCAGGCTCAGGTCTGTGATTTACCCACAGGAGAAATGCCTGACAAACATTTCATTAATAGAATGGATAAAACACTTGAAAACTAACTGCAAGGTGTACACTGCCTACTCCAAGGTAACCACTCCTCAGGCTGTACACGGTATGTTTATGTTGTGAGGTAGGAGACTAAAACCCACCTTTTCACAGAATCACAGAACTTTAGGTGTTGGAAGGGGCCTCTGGAGACTGTCTAGTCCAATCCCTTGCCAAAGCAGGTTCCCTACAGCAGGTTGATCAGGAAAGCGTCCAGATGAGTTCTCAGTATCTCCAGAGTGGGAGACTCCACAACCTCTCTGGGTTCCATTGTCACCAGAAGGTCTGGAATACCTTCTCAGTGACCCTTTGGATAGTGCCTTGCATTCTGATGCCGTTCAGTTTTAGATTTAGATCTTAGAGCTCCTCCTTGAGAGCAAGGATGCTTTCCCTTTACATTTAGGATAACATGACCAAACTGCCGAGTGATTCCTAGTCAATTAGAGCAGTGTTTTAGAGGGCTGGTTCTCCACAGTCATCTGCTACCCTCAGCTTTGCAGAAGTTCGTTCCTTGAGCTGCCCTGATGCTGGTTGGTTGCACACGGTCCTCTGCCTTGGGGGCACTGAAAACTGAAATTTCATCTCCAAGCTTTAGACTGAAACTAATGATTATTTACCTCATAGATAGTCTTCTAGTTAAGGAAAAAGAACTCAGGCATCTCTTCTGCCCGACTCACAGAATCTGCTTGTGGCAAGACCAGAAGGAGCAGCCCTTGAGAGTAGCCCTGTGGAGAAGGAGCTGGGGATCCTGGTGGATGAAAAAGTTAACATGAGCCAGCAGTGGGTTCTTGCAGCTTGGAAAGAAAATGGTATCCTGGGCTTCATCAGAGGAGGGCTGGCCAGGAGGAGGGAGGGACCGTCATTACAAGAAAGACAGAGAGCTGTTGGAGAGGGTCCAGAGGAGGGCCACAAAGATGATCAGAGGACTGGAGCACCTCCCCTATGAATACAGGCTGAGGGAGATAGGCTTGATCAGCTTGGAGAAGAGAAAGCTGCACAGTGACCTCATTGCAGCCTTTCAGTACCTAAAGGGAGCCTACAAACAGGAGGGGAGTCAACTCTTTGAAAGGGTAGATAATTGCATGACAAGGGGAAATGATTTTAAGTTGAAAGAGGGAAGATTTAGGTTGGATGTCAGGGGGAAGTTCTTTATTATGACAGTGGTGAGGTGCTGGAGCAGGCTGCCCAGAGAGGTTGTGGATGCCCCATCCCTGGAGGTGTTCAAGGCCAGGTTGGATGGAGCTCTGGGCAGCCTGGTCTGGTATTAAATGTGGAGGTTGGTGGCCCTGTCTGTAGCAAGGGGGTTGGAGATTCATGATCCTTGAGGTCCCTTCCAACCCTGGCCATTCTGTGATTCTGTTATTCTGTGAATTGTTAGACTTGGCTTAGCAAAATGAAGGAGAGATTCTTTTCATGATTCTTTTCATGACTCTTATGTCAAGTTAAATGGAACAAATCAGTGAGGTTTGGGCCAGTTTTTGGAAGCTCTCCTCCAGGAGAGAAGAGTATCCAGAAGTACCCAATTGAGGGAAGAGAAGAAATAGCACACAGAGAAGCACACTCACTCCTCCTCCATCAGTAAGTCTTGGGAGTCAGAGAAGAAATTCCTGCCAGATGCATATATAACATGATCTGGGTAATGTGGAGGTTCTTTACATACAATATTTCTCTCTCATGTTTCTATTTATAACTAGCCCCAGACATATCAAAAGGCACTAAAGATTTATTATGTTCAGCATATTTTTCTTTTTTTTTTTTTTAATTGCTTGATGATAATGACTAGTTGATAATGAGGAAGCTTACTGCAGACCAGTAATGAAACCAATACAAAGAAAAAGGAAAAGGAAAAGGAAAAGGAAAAGGAAAAGGAAAAGGAAAAGGAAAAGGAAAAGGAAAAGGAAAAGAAGAAAAAGAAGAAGAAGAAGAAAAAGAAAAAGAAGAAAAAGAAGAAGAAGAAGAAAAAGAAAAAGAAGAAGAAGAAGAAGAAGAAGAAGAAGAAGAAGAAAAAGAAAAAGAAGAAGAAGAAGAAGAAGAAGAAGAAGAAAAAGAGAAGGACTAAGCCAACTGGAGTTGGCTTAGGAAGGAGGAGGAAAAAAACAAGGGAGTGATAGCCCCTGTTAATTACTGCCAGAGTTGCATCAGGGAAAACCTTAAGATCAAAGGTGGTAATATTTATAAGGGAAACATGTATCTTATTGGGCTGGATCAGCAACTTCAAAATGATCAGTTAGTATTTTAAATTTCAGGTTATAAAATGTTGACAATTAAAGCTGTATTTTCCCTGCTGGGATGTCAAATGCTCTCCTTGGAGGCCTGACTTGTTTGGTAATTATCTGAACTAGTCAGCCTCAGGGAAATCGCAGTCCTGAAATAAGCTCAGCAGAGACCTTAGCTGTCATTGGAGCAGGAGTTTCGGTGTCATTTGTCACCAACTTACTGAATGCAATGAGAAGCTGGTGGCCTCCTCCACTGCAGCTTTTATTATGCTCCCAGTAATCAGTGACTGTGTGTGTGCTTTCTGATCAATTCAGATTCCTTTTATTGTTTATAAACACATTAGGAGCATGTCCGGGGGCATCCCAAACCAGTACCAAGGAATCTGAGCAGTGATACTTGCAACTCCAGTGCTCTGCTTGCTGATAGTATTTTCAGGTCATTATTGTTTGATTGCATTGAATTAAAGTAGCATCAGTAGTGAGGGGCTACAAAAAGGAAAACATTGTTTTGTTAGGTACCATTTTCCTTCTGAATTGCTTTGTCAGCTCTTGTATCATCACAGCTGGTTTAGCAGTTTCCCTCTACAGCAGGCTAAGACTCCTTTCTTCCTCAGCAGCCAGCCTGGACTTGCTACTGACATTGTGGCCTCACAAGAACCTGTGCTGTTCCAGAGAAACACTCTAAAATGTCTCCAACAAATAGTCCAAGTCCATGCATTTGGAGGATACAGGCTTCCA